GACTGAGCTTTCAGCCTTTGTTCATTTTCTTCGGGTGTGTTGGTCTCTTGATTGTCCGGAAGGCTTTCACTTTCATTAAGACCACAAACTCCTCCATCCGAAAACATTATGTACGCCATTATAACTTCGGGTCTGTTGAATCGTTGCATCATCCCATCAATTACAGTCTCGGAAAACATAGTACGATTTTTTGGCGCAAATATCAGACAATGAGCAGCCAGTAGTTTCAATGAGTGCACCTAAAAAAAACAATAAAGGCATAATATATGCATAAATGCGTACTAATTGAACGATAACAGTCAAAAGCTATATTCATTCTATTTATAATAGTATTCATTGTTGGTCTTTAACTTAAATAAATTGCTTATGAAGGTTATATCATTTGATATAACTCGTATGTTGTTCTCAATGCATTTGAGATCACTTCTCATAATGTGACAGAAAAATGAAAGAAATCTAAAGCAAAGAAAAATGGCAGATACTCAACTTAATATTTCTCAAATATAACTCGTGAATGTTTTTACTTTAAACTACAAAAGCCTATTTTTAGGAATAAAAAACGTTGCCCACGACTCATCATCTAAAATAGCTAACTTAATGAACATGCATTCAATTAACGTCTTCAAAAACGAATAAGACTCTTGAACTTGTTTCCGTAAATCTTTCGTTTTTAATGATTCTCCCTCCGGTATGCTACAAATTATATTTTTTTTTTGTTAAGTTAGTGGCTTGCACTGCAAAGATATATTATACATATATGTATTTATATATATATTAATTACATACATTGATTAGTCAGCCAAGAAATGGTGTCCTAAATTTTGTTCGTTTCACTTCTCTGCCTCATACACTTTACATATACAAGACTTTGTTCTTACTCACTGTCTCTTTTCACGCACACTAATATAAACATGGTGCTTACCTCAAACAATAGCGGATGAAATAGCAAATCACTTGCCGTCGGTCGTTCAGATGGGTTTCTTCGCAGACACTTAAAAATAAGATCTCTCTGTAAATCATGTTCCAAGCTATTAATCGTTCTAAGTATTGTCTCTTCATTGATACTTGATGTCGTGTCACCCGAACTATTCTGTATTTCTAGAGCAGCCATCTCTAGGGCACACATACCGAAAGCGTAAATGTCCACAGCCGCAGTTAATTGCTCAGCTGCACTATACTCGGGGGCCATAAAATGTAGAGCACCTTGTTCGACAGCTTTGTGCTGCTGTTGTCGCACACTGTAGTGCACTGCATCTGGTACAACAGTACCAATTTTAACGAGGCCATTGTGCTGGATGAAAATGCTATCACAGGTTAGATTGCCGTGGAGGATGGGCGGTGTGCAGGAATGCAAATAGCTGAGTGCGGACAGAATCTGAGTGCACCAGCGACGCCACGCCTCCAGTGGCAGTCGTTTCGCATTACGCTTAGTGCGTTTAAGGAACTGTTTTAGGGAACCGGACGACATAAATTCCGTAATGAATATGAGTCGTGGCCGCTCTGGCTGTTGAATATCCGTCCAATAGCGATGAAATTTGACAATATTCTGATGGTCCAATTGCAATAGATTGTCAAACACTTGACGCATCTTTTCCTCTTGCGATTTTAATTCTTGCAGATTGGCGTAAATCACCTCATTCCAGACAACTTCTACACCCTCTTCGGTGTCCATTGCCAGATGGACGCAATCGATACCAGGCACATCGCGCTGATCAACTTCCTCACGTCGCTTTAGCCATCTCCCACATGGAGATTCTTCCAATATTTCACTTTCATCCTCAGAATCATCCCCGGATTCTCGTGGCGATGAGTCCGCCGCCATATTTAAGGCTTCCGCTGATGTAGTAGAGCCAGCCACTGCCGCGGTAGTAGTGCTAGAAGTTCCCATAGTCACAATTTGAGGCAGTGCATGCTGTTGTTGCTGCTGTGATTGTTCTTGGTGAGGTGGCTGAGTATGTGATGAGCTGCCAGCGCTGCTGCCGGCTTGACTACTTCCTCCCCCTCCGCCATTATTAGCGTCTACGCCAATACCTCCACCGCTACCGTGAGTTCCTCCACCACTCGCAATACCGACACCGGAGCCGGCGTGGGTTTGGCTGCCTGACATTGACAGCTAAGCGGCAGCTAACGCTTACACTAGCGTTTTGCTCACTAAAGCCGGCTTCGTTTTTGCTAAACACAAAAAATCCGTATATAAATTATTAAAACGTATAAGGGAACCCAAAAAAATCGTTGATGCGACGTAAAAACGGGCCTTGATTCAAGTTTCTTTTCAACCCAACTCTGTTGATTTATCGTCGTTTTCTTAATTAGATTGCGATTTTTTTGTTTTCTTTTCGCTTGCCTTATTTAATCTCTTCCTTATGTAGTTGTTGCTGATGAAGTACAACTTTAAGGCGTATGATTACCTTCTCTTGGCTATTTTTCTTTTGCTTCTTTTTTTAGTTTTGCCCAAAGAAAAGCTGGTATTTCATTTCGCTTTACGCGTTGCTTCCCGAAATGTGTCGTATTATAATTGTTATAAAAAGTCAAATCACTCTTCTCTCGTTATGTTTAACACTTTTCCCATAATATTTTAGGAAAAAGTAACATTTATTAATTAATAACTCGTTTACTAATTCTGTCCAATGAATTTCTTTAATGAAAATCAATGGAAATTCATTGCGAGTTAAGTGTTACCAAATCTTAGACAATTGTCTTACTAAAAATTATCAAAATGTCATTTGCCAGTAAAGTAAGCAAGAGTGCAATCATAAATTAACTACGGATATTTTACAAATTACAATTTATTTTTAAAAAAAGGGCTAAAGATATTTCTTACTATCTAACCACACGAACTCAGGTAAGTTATTCTTAAATAGAAACTAGAATGGAATTTAGATAAATAGAAACTCGAAATTTCGAAAACGAACATATGCAATATACCTCAAAGCATTTGTACTTAATTGTAAAACTCCTTTCATGTGGTTTCCCGTTATATTAAGCGGTGAACAAGTAACTCATATCGCTTAATGCTCAAAACCACTTGAACTTGTTCCTTTTAGCTGACGTAATCAGTTATATATCGCTGAGTAAAGCCTGGAGTGCAATGATGCGTAATTACAATTTCGTTGGGCTTCGAAGTAAAAGATTCAATGGAATTTGGTGAACAACAAATTGAGCCATACTCTCACATAATTCAAAATTCCATACATTGTTCGTGGTACGACTTCAACATTTTCAATTTCTTATGAGGTTTTCTAAGAGTTGGTAAATGCCGCACCAAAAAACTCAACAAAGGCGGTTAATTAACCAATTTTGAAATTATTTTCCAAATTGTTTTGTCAAAGTATATTACATTAAAGAGAAATTTCCAGATTATGGAAGAAATAATAAATATATTAACGTTATTAAGTTGTGGAAAGCGCAAGTATAAAAGCATTCTGTAATTTATAAATACGTTGGTATCTATGCTTAGATTCCATATCGTACTATTATGGTTCACAATTCGTGCAGTAGGACACAGTATAGTGAATCTTATTTACAGTGATGAAAACGAGTACATAATTGTATTGTCATTGATACTTATTTTTACTGATTAATAAACTAAACTAAGCTGAAAGGTTTCCGGCGACATAATTAAATTTACACACATTACGAAGTTGAGAAATGGCGAAACAATTTCTAAATGTCCAAATTTAGAGAGCTTGATAGAATTCTTGGTACACGAGTATCCAGTTTACTATTTAATATCCTTTGTTCAAGTGCTAAACTCCACAAAATACCAACATCACTTTTTGAACCATTAACTCTGATGTCTATAGC